AGAAATTAACTTGTATGATTTATAATAATAAAATATTACTATATAATTTAAATTATATTAAATTATATAATTAAATTATTAAATATCACGAGTCCCTGATTTTAAAATTGTTGTACCTATTTGGTATTTCTTATTAGAACGCAGCTACAAAATAAAGGCTCATAATTTTTGGTACAAAGAATAGTGTAATAAATAAATTATCATCTTGAAAAATTCTTAGAAATTATTTAAAAATGGTGAAATGATTTTGACGGTGAAGATCATCCTCTGAAGATAGAAACCAAATCTAACGGTTATAGTCGCGTTAAAGTATCATATTATTCGCTTCGTTTAAAATCAGAGGAAGTATAGCAACGAGGAATTGAATCAAGTGGTAAGTAGCTCGTTTCAGTTTAAGTAAGGTATTGAGTTTGAGATCTTGTGTATGCAACAGCTTCCGCTGAGAAACTCATCCACTATTATCAGATGTGTGATGCGGGTTGGGTCTGAATTAGTCAGGCGAAGCTCCGGATACGGGCGGTAAATCAAAAAAATAAAAAAATAAAAAAATAAAAAAATAAAAAATAATCAGAGGAAGTATAAACCTCTAATTACGTAGACTACCGCCATAACCGGCGAGAGCAATTTTGAAATGTACGACGCGATGAAATCCGCATCTGCTAGTAACGCTCCGGCGGAGATGAGCGTTAGCTCAGCCGCAGTGGAGAGTCGCATCGGCTCCGGCGAACACGAGATGCAGTTTCTCAGCGAATCCATTCTACCCTTGCCTTCTTACGCCGTTAAGGATCTTCTGTTCGTCGGGCTTAGTAACTCTCTTGATTTTTAGGGTTTCGTTCTCATTCGATCTGATTACGTAATTGACATCAAGTTCGGTTCAGTTGTTCTGTGATTTATATTTTTTTAGAAATTTTTATTATGATTAATTTCAGGTATGTGTGAGATGCAGCTTTCGGCTACTCGGAATCGAGCAACAAGTTTATTGTTCTTCCTCATTTTCACCATCGCTACTGGATTCATTTCTTGAAGAATCAACGTCTCCGGAAGCAGAAGTCGAGTCGGAATTTTGCAGCGTTTGCTTAGGTATATTGCAATTCAAGTGGCGCGATGATAAGGAAACATTAGTGAAAAAGGAGAGCGCCAATGATCTGACTGAATTGATTGCTGAGATAGTGAAGCACGAAGGCCATCAGATCGATAGCTTTTCTCTGGAAGTATCTGTACCGCAAGGAATACTGGAGAACGAATCCGCGATTTTGTAAGAGCTCTTTGCCTCTTTTTGGCGGTGAATGATTCATGTTCCTGTAGCTTCGAGCTCGATTCATGATTTCGTGTTCTTTTTCCTTTCTCTTGTGGTCACTTATAATGCGTTATGTATAAGCTTGAATTTTGGTTTTTAAGCAGTAAGCAAGCCTGTTAGCACCGTTTTCTGTTAGATGCGTAGCCTGACTATTTGGATCTAAATATGAACATTTTGTAGGTCAGATATGAAAAGGAACTTTGGTGATAATTCACATTCATTTAGTTTCATTTCATGATTTCTATTTCTTATTCATTTCTCTTGTGATTTTTATTCATGTTATAATCTGGAGTTTTTGTTTTTAATCACTAAGAGAAGCATGCTGGCGTAGTTTTATGTAGTGTTGAAGCATAAATGACCTCTTAGACTCTGAATATAAACGGTTGAAGAGTTATAATTTCTTTCCATAATTTTGTACGTCAGATATGAAGAGGAAATATGGATCTGAACTCTGGTTTCAGGAAAGGTCACTTTCAGAACCTATTTCTGTTAAGGATGCCCTAAAATTTGCTATAGTTAAACCACTGGAATCATTATTAGTAAGTATAGATTGCTATAAATGGTTTGATGTTCATTGATGTTATTGTTGTTCTCTAGTATGATGTCTAGAGACTTAAACTATATCTGGTGTTGTATCTGCTAGGCTTTGGAGAAAAGAGGATCAGATTTAGTTACAAACTAAAAACCATGTATTTTATATATCTAGCATACTGTGTAGAGTTGTCTACCTACATCAGGTATTGCATCTGCTAGGCTTTGGAGAAAAGGAGAATCTGATTTAATTATAAACTAAAAATGAACTTTAGATTAGTATAAAACATATGAATTATTTTGTTCTGCCTTGTAATTCTAAATTAAATAAAAGTTTTGCAGGGCATTAAATCCAGTATAGATTCTTTCCGAATCCATTTGACATACACATTCGGAGGTCAGAATTAAAAATCTTAAAGTTGTGGGCAGTGAAGGTTGGACACTGATGCGTGAAGGACAATCAGAGAAGCAGGTAAGTTTTTTAGCTACAATAATTTTACCTTTTAGGAAAATTTTGTTCCATTTGGACAAATATTTGGGGTTGATTATTGGACCTGGATACACCTTATCTTTTACCATCCCAAGTTACATGTTTCACACATAAGGAGTATGCTGCGCTAGTGTGGATTTCTCGTCCACTTGACGACAAAGATTTGAAAACTATATCTTCACTCAAGGACATGGTGAGTTGTTCAGTGTGCTTCATTATTATACTTTACAAATATAGTGGGGAAGTTATGGTTTAACTCCAATTGCAAACCTTCTTACAAATCCAATCGCTTGCTTCCTTTATTCTTTCGCAGCAAATTATGCAAAAGACTCCAATAAGAGTGCTCCATTGTTAAAGTCCGTTGGAGCAGGAAAAACTTATACATTGGTCAGAGGCTTTCCATTCATGTTGCACAGCACTGTCATTTGGTTCATGTCATGTCTAGTTTCAAAACACCTGAAACATTTCCATTTTCTTTTCTCTTTCTTGAATCTTGTTTAGGATGAAAATTGAGAGGATTGCAGGAAGTTCTCAATGTTTTCTACTGTATCTCTGCACTCAGGTAATACATTTCATCATCTCCTAAAACCACATAATGGGATGCATTCAATTTTATAATCCTGATGGATATAATTCAAAGTAATTGGTTTCTATACCCTGGTATAGGTCTTTGGCTGGTTTAAACAGTATTCATATGGAGTATTCATCTAATTTGAAATATTTCAAATGCAGGCAGGAACATATTTCTAGGAATTTGTTCATGGGGATATCGGGCGGACTCACCCAAGGTACAGAACTAACCGTCCTTTATGGTTATGCTGTCCATTGTAGCCATTCTTTAGATGTTTGAAAAGCTTTGGTCATCATTTCATTATTTTTGTCAAAAAGAGTGTTTTAGTTCGGACTGTAAAACAGTAATCCTTAAATGAAGGATGGGGATCCTTAACATTGGGTTTTTCCCCCACTTAAGGATTCTTATTTCACAATTTGAACTATAAAAGAGCTGACCCTATTTTTATTTATATTTTATTCCATTCCTTTGCAGCGTTGGATCAATCCTTGGATGCAGAGCAGAGATACTGCAACTTAATGTTACAGACGTCAAAATGGACTGTTTTCTAACTGGGTGAGGCAATACGCATTCCAATATAATTTTTTATGTATTTGAACCACGGTTTTGTGTTTTTATATGGCTTAATTCGATAATTAGTCTATTAATTATTAGCTTAATTTCATTTTAGTTTAGAAAGTTTGTTTTCTTTCTGAATGAAACATTAGAGAATATTTCAAAATAATCTACCATACAAAATTTTTGTTAAACCTAATGGAAAAAAATAGTCTTTTAAGTTTTAAAAAAGTGATACTATAATCCCAATAAAATATGAGAACTCAAGAAATACTTTATAAAAATAGATTAGTTAGAATTTATAATAAATTTGAGCAAAATTAGCTCAACTCAAAGAGAGAAATTTAGTAAGTTTAGAACGAAAAGTTTCAAAAGTAAATCTTGTAAATATAGTAAAAGTTAGAATGATATCCTATAAAACTAATGAGTTACTATGAGATAGATCTATTTATAAAGTTTGTAAAGCATCTCCTTTGGAAGAATTAAAACATTTAGTAAGATAAGAATAAAAGCTGTTTTTATGGTGAATATAAATTTAAGGACTAAAAAATCAAAAGAAATATAGTTAGAGCACTAAGTGTTTTCTTATAGAATAAGAAGATTTCCGTTAGATAACAAATTAAATAAAATTGAAATAAATGTGAAATAATAGACAGGATTGGAAGAATGCAAAGATAATAGATGAAACTAAAAAGAATATGAAAATTAGTAGATAATTTGTTAAATTAAGTCATTTTTATCTTAATGAAATACTTACTGCAATTTTTGGGTAAAGCTAGGTTTGTCCACAAAAGATGCCAATATATCCACCCTTTTGGTGTTTCTTGAATAGTTTGGAAGGTGGCAAGTTGATTGTCATTGTTTAATAATTCATCTTTTAAAAAGCATAATTATGAAAGTTCGTAAACTTTTCAAATTTATTATCGAGCTTCAATTCAATCTAGACTTAAAAGTTCAAAATTAAGCTCTAGTTTGTTTATAAACTAGCATAAGGGCTGAATTTGAACTTGAAAATATACTGTAGACTATTTTAAACCCAGTCCAGGATCCCCAATTCATGGAGAATAATTAAGTCCCTACAAAAATTTATTTTGCTTGACAATTCCCTTAAAAGATTTCAAGTGTCTAATTTAAAATGTGAAGAAAACCTAAACTGCTGTTGATCAGGAATTTACGTGGATTGTGAACAGAAAATTCTTGTGATGGGCTCTCTAGAGCGGAAAGCCTAAAGAAAATAAAGATAAGAAAATGATTTCGGTAACTGGAAGTGCGACTTCTAGCAAACGGCTTGTGATCACGGTTCGGTCCATCAGAACTCATAACAGCTATTCGATCCAAGTTGCGTCTGATACCATGGCCATGAAACTATATCGATCCGCAGCTCCCTCAATCTGCGGCAAATGGCCGAAAAGACAAGAATGTCGAAAATCAAAGAAATTATCAATACAATAGCTATCCTTAGTAATACCAATCCATGTTAATCTTTCAGCAATGGCATGCTATCTTTTACTCCTTGTATTCTAGAATCATTGATGTTTTTTTATTTAGAATTCATTTTAAGATAATAATCATTTCATATTTTAGGGGTGATATATTTTTTTCTTTAACTTTATTGTTTCTTGATTTTAATTATCCAACTTATCAAAAAAAATCTTTTTATATTCATATCTTTTTTTAAAGAGTAATATAAGTAAAAATAAAAATTATCCCCAAGTCTTGAATTTAAAGATAAAATAGAAAAATATCTATTATTCTAGAAAGGAAAGAGTATATTATAACATTAAGAAAGATAAAATACACCCTTTATGCTTACCAATCACTAGAAAATGTGCTCATCAAGGAAAAAAAAAAAAAAAAGGAAGTGAAAATGCAAACAATAATTTTTTTGAAGTCCATATTGATATAGCGCTATATCTAATATTTTCTTAAAACCATACAGATATAAAGTCCAAGTAATTGGCTGTTTCATAACATAATATAAATTTTAAAAATGACGAGAGAAACTTAAAGAAGTAAAATATAACTGTAAACAGCCCAAAAAGTTTTGGGATTTCAAAGCTAGTTAGATTGAAAAATCTGTTAGATGCATTGAAATATAAAGAAGGAAACTTGAATTGGTTTAAGTAAAAAAGTCTTAGTTTAGAGATTTCACATTATATCTGTTTGAGATTTGCAAGAAATGCGGTTTGGCTTGAAAAAAATCCCCCAAATAAAAATGATTCATGAAGAACTCAAAACAAAATTTCATGATCACAATGACTTTAAACAGCAAGGATATATATATATATTTTCTGACCTTAGCAAGGATAATTAAAAACTGGGAATATGGCTTACCTGTTTCTTTGTTGGACGTCCTGCTCCATGTCCAGCCTTGCACTCAATGCGACCAATAATTGGGTTGGTCTGGGGACTATTCTCCAAGCTGGTGCACAAAACATGCTGCATTGTCTGAGAGAGAAGAGAATAAATGAGAGAGAGTGAACTCATTACTGCAAGACAGCCTTATGCATTTGGAATTTTGGACAAGTATAAAAGAATCCAAGATAAAGAAAGATGTATTCATGAAGCAACTTCAAGGCTT